CCTCACACCCCTGGGATATAATTTCTTCTAGCCAAAAATATGAGCAGAGCTGTGAATAGCATTGAACTTGTCTCCCACAGCACTTTGGTTTGAAAATAACAATCAAGACACAAAAGACACTCTGCAGATTGACCACAGAAGAAGAGAAAAACCCCAAGCACTATGTTTTGCTTTTGTTTGCACTGCTCTTTAATTTCCAGCCCAAATCCTTCATTGTTATGCTTAACAAAAACATACCCTTTTTACATAAATGTCTCAAAAATATTTTTAAAACTTATTTTTGTATTCAATGTCTTAAATTATCCAAAATTAAATTAAACTAGCCCCCCACTCTGAATCCTCAAGAAACCTAACTTGGGCTCCATTTGCGGTCACGGCTGGTTTCTCTGCACTGCCGTACCATACATACACTGTTCCTTAAAAGGGAACTTTAAAAGAGCACTTCCTGAATTTTCTCCACTCCCTCCAACAGGTCGAATAACCCCTCCTTTCCATAAATCCCCCTTCACGCTTGCATGCACTAGAAAAATGTTTCCGAGAGACACTTCAAAGAGCTACAACGTTCACTCCAGATGAGGCTTTTGTCTCCTGCAACTACAGCCCATTGCTCTACCTGCCTCAGAGATGTCTGTAATCTCTATCTTTTTTAAGCTCAGCTTTTGCAGCTAAGGATACCAGGAGAGCTCCCCCTTTAGAAACACGTAGGCCTGGCAACCACTTCTCAGCAGAGATCACAACTGTTTTTCTTTCGGCAAGACCTCTGCCACTCTTCATTATTCCCAAACAGACAAAATGTAGCACTCCTAGTGCTACAGCCCATTTTCAGCACGGCCATTCTGCCCTGTGAGATCAAACCGCTTGTTTCTCCCTAGTAAAAACCTCTAGTCCTGCCTTTACAATACCTTGATGTTTTCAGCATCCCCTGCCGAGTTAGCGATGTTTTCTCTGCTAAGAGCTGGGTGGGGAAAGGTGAACAGTTTAGGAATTTGAAGAATGAGAGGAGTATTGCTCTGGCTCAGGACAAAGTACAATTGACCCGTATCACAGATCTCAGAGCCCTGCACTGGGCTGTTTGTAGGTGAACTGGATATGCCGTATCATGCCCCCGAGCATTTTCAGCAGGGACTTTCACCTCCCTGTGTCGTAACCCAAATTCTCCATGCATTTTGGCACAGCAAGCTGAAATCTCTCTCTTGCCTTGTGCAACCAATTTCCCTAATGGACTGGATTCCGCCTTATACCCAAACTTATCAAAACCTGCTATCGAATGAAAGTGTTACATGCTCCATTTTTTTTGCTTCACTGGAAATTAAGGTTCCTAGGCAGTTTTTCTAGCCAGCCTGCTCAGCTGTACCACGAAGGGCAGAGAGAAGACTGTGATCTTTGCTCCAGAGAAGCAAAGGATGAAGCACTCGAGATGCCCTCTGCACTTCCTTCAAACCGAGCTAAGAAAGCGTCTACTGCCCTCCAAACACCCTCCTGCTTCTAAGAAAGCCTTTTTATATAAACTTATATAAGGACTGGTCTAGTCCACCCTTCCCTCCAAAGCCAGGCATTTGCAACCACTGTCTCCCAGTTTGAAGACTATCACCAATACACTTTATTTCTTGCTAAGAGAAAGTCCCTTGGCTCTTTCTTGCTGAGGAAGCAAGAACACACTCATCAAAACCAGGTCATTGGCACAGCACGCCACCATGCACTGAAGTAGGCCTGCAGTTCATCTTCCAAGTACTCCTTATTTTCGAAGAGCAGTCCGTGATCATGCGGACAAAAACAATGGAAAATTACACCCAGCTATCCAGGGATTTTAGCTACAGTTATGAAAACAGATGCTTTTTAGCACATTTGATCATGTCCTTTCCCAAGGACTCTAGATGCAATGGTAGCAAGCAGCACTTAGTTAGTTAAGATGTCCTGGAGAACCGCCACTGTTAAGCAATCTCAGCTGTAGCAGCCGAATTTTTCTGCAGGGAATAACTGCTCCCACCCAAGCCTGCATCCAGAAGATTAAAAAAGTATTTCTTTAGAGAACGTCTCTACCCATTCCAAAGAAATCCCAAAGTGCTTTGCAGACAAACCAATGCACAAGCTCAGAGTAGGGGTCAAAGTAAGCTCAGCCATTCCTGGGAAGACGTGCGGCAACTCTGTAAACAACAGGCAGTAACAACATACAACAGTTTAGGATGATAAATTAATGCTGGATCCTACTGAAACCGCAGGTGGCATTTTAAGTAAACAAGACCATAATTTACTGAATTGCAATCTGGCCACGGTGCCAGGAACAACACCTCCATTCTCATGCAAAGGGTCTATGCACACTCGCAACCACAAGTGGATGAGATCTGTTGTTTTTCATGGGAATTTCCAGAAAAAGAACCCACTAATACCACGTTATTGCCTGGTTTCATTAACTGCTGACACTTCCTAGAGCTTCTAGGAATTACTCAACCCCTGACTCAGCATGAGCCCAAGGACTTGCCTGGATGATCACAGGAGGTCAGCAGCGTGTGCCCACCACAGCCATTTGCTGGCCTGGCTTCTGGCGTCCTCTTTAATGGCTTTGCCCCTACCTTGTCATGCAACAGCACATCTGCACCGCAGGGCTGAAAGCCCCCCCAGTGCATAGGAAGCAATAGGATGGGACACCTGTAGGTGCTGAGGCACACAAGGGGCTCCTTGGTTGTCGCTTGAGTAGGGGTGCCAGCGTTGAGAGATGGAGCGGGTGCAGGCTGGTTGCAAGCCCAGCACAGTGCTGGGACTCCAGGGCCTCCATAAAAGGCTCTACAACATGTCCTAGCCAGACGTTTGGGCACAGCTGCAATTTTGGCTGCAGAACAGAAAAACTGTAAAAGCCTAGCAAATGTATAGTACGGTCATTTATTTGGAATAAAGCTATGCGAACAAGGCCAAGTGCAATTGTAAATATTATGTCTAAAGTATGGAGTGAAGAGTGAAGATGTCCAGGGCTGAGCTGTGCATTTGTACACCTGGTGATGCCTGGCTTCAAACCAGCAGCAGGGAGTTAAGCCTAGCAGAGCACTGGCCCATGCACCCAGTGGATCATTTGGCAGAAGGGGAAGGAGGGGAATTTCAAATTCACCCAAAGACAACACTACACGAGCAGGAAACACAGAGGCCGAGCACAGTAGCGGTACACGCTAACACCTTGTTCATGGCAAAAGCAGGTACCGGCTCTGCCTCATGCTGAAAATGGGTGAGATATGCAAAGGCAACGAAAGTTTGGCATTAAAAGGCCTCTAAAAGCCAAGTAAAACGGGGCTTCTAGTTGCCTTCACTGTCCCCAAAAGCCTTCCCCGTGCTCTTCAACACGTGCTTCCTTCCCAAACGGACACGAGCTGGTTTTCAGCTGCACTGTGCTGAGCTGTCGCTGCAGTCACTGGAAAAGGAGAAAAGGTTGGGAGACACTGGGCATCCTGAGCCACGTTTACCATTAAATGTCTGATTTGAGAGAGAGTATTTCCCATCACCAACCTGGTAGTGACCACTGGGAACAAAAGCTTGTGGCAACCTGAGGGCAACATGACAGGCAGAGAGGAAACAGGGTCTTTGGAAAAACAACCACTGAGGGACAGCATCAACAGAAGCGATGCAGCAGTTCAGAGCTAAACACGCACTGGGGGACTGTCGGACTTGAAGGCAATTTCAGGCTTGCTCTTGGTTTATGGAAAAGTCAGAAGTTGAGACACTCTCCAGTCCAAAAAAGGCTGAGTCCTGAGAAACACTGCTATATTTTCTGTCAAATTCACTGGTGATGCCAATGGGTGGGTAATGATGCAACCAAAGGGTGAATCAGACACAGCCAAGGAGCTGAGTTTTGCCAAGAGATATCCCTGCCAGAGCACCAAAACCTTTCATAAAACAGAAGTACCAACCTCTTACCCAGCATCAGACAGGCTCAGAGCTGAAAGCTCTACACGAGTGCCAAGCTCAGAGAGTCAGAACGGCAGCTGCAGAAAGACCCGGGAACAGAATTAGCTCCCATGAAAGCCATCTCTTGCAAGCAGAGGAAGTACTGAAGAAAGAGAAGGCTGCTACGTTTACAGCGTCCTTGGGAAAGGGAGCCCCATCACATGGTCATGCACCAGAGATGTTTTCTACCAGCTGTGAAAGAACATGCCAGGCTTAAAGCTTCAAAAAGAACCTTTCTGGGACACTGACCACAGTTTTGCTCAAACTTAAGAATAATTAAGAATAAAATAATTTAGGAATAAAAAACCCAAAGCATTCCCTCCTCATGAAAAAGGGGGGAGCAATGTTCAGTCTGATGCTGTACT